CGAGCCGGTCTCTTTCAAGTCGAGTTCATCGATTGAGAAAAGCAAAAATTGAATCGGGCCTCCAATCAGCTTGAATTGATCGTGGGAAGATGTGGAAGAGGATTGTAAAGAAATATTGTAACCCTTGAGGGAAATCAATAAAATCTCTTTATATCCTTATATATGAATTATCTATTTAATTCCTTTCCCCCCTCCAATGAAATTCAAAAAATCTCAATACGAAAAAGACACTTTGGTCGAGGAGTCGAACCTCCGGCATTTTGCGCGGTCGTCTTTTCATCTAGAATTTTTATTATTCAAAACTAAACGTCTCCCAAGAGATGTCATCATGAAAATTTTGAGAAGCAAATATTTTTTGCACTTTCAAAAAAATGCACAAATTAGAAATTTATTATTTTCTTGCGACATCTTTTTTACGCACAAGCAACTCAAGCTCGCACGCAAAAAAACGAACAAAATCGAATTATTGTAACGCCGCGTCAAATCGAAACGCAGATCTATGAAGAATTTTGAGGACCAACTTTTGCGCTCGGGCTGAAGGAAAATGAGAATTTCGTTAATTCCCTCGTAATATCATTTCGCACAAGCGCGATACAAGTGTACGCAGAAATAGTGAACTATATATACAAGAGGTACAATCTAGATTACACTAGCTCTAATGTCTACCTGACCCCATTTGGCGTATTTATCAAGACGAAATATGGCAAAGTTTAGCAGCGCCATGTGACGCCACACGGGATAGTAAAGATTAAGAATGGTTGCGTTCTCGCGCAACCCACACACACGTTCTCTCCACGGCCCGCGATTTGTGTGTGCTGTTCCAAGATGCGTGCGGCGCCGGGATCTCCGAAGATGTGAGAGACGCGCACAGGAATTCGAATATTAAAACGAAAAAGAAGAGGAGTCGGGGCGCCGTCTTTGGAAATTCGCTCGCGACGAGAAGGAGAAATCCTATTTAAGTCTTTTCGCGAATTGGGTCGCGGTTCGAACCGCGACGAAACGGCGCGACGTTTTAATAAAACACACGGGCCGCGCGAGAATTCGAACAAGCTGCGAATGTTGATTATTTCAAAGTCGTTTAAATAGCATGACTGAATATCCAACTGGATCAACCGCGCTCTTGCGAAGTTCTTCACGTGACGAAAGTTTCGGAGCTATATATCTCCAGACGCCACAGATGTTCCTTCATAAACATTCGTTAAAATTAATAGAACTTTAAGCGAGACAGAACTTCCCGAAACGTCTTTCCAAGATATATACATATATACATATATCCTTAAATCATATTTATTTGAAAGCGAGGCGAAGCGAGCATTAAATTTCGAAAACCGGGAGAATACGCGCGCGCGCGCGGACAGCTTTCGACAGATTTTCTCTTCGAGATCGCGTCTCCTTCAATATAAACCATCGCGGGTCCCGAGACCCATTGAGAGAATCCCACAAATTTACGTGGATCGCAAATATCCGAAAATTCGGATTCGCCGTTATGAATACAAATGCCCGATGGGGTACGTATGGGTCTTCCCGCTTATCTCTCTCGCTCAACCGTATCTCGTAAGTCGTCGGGTGTGTGTGCGCGCGATGTGAGCTTTGAGAAAAAAAAACCCGCCGCTCTTGCTCTTGGACGAAGAAGCCGGCCGCGGCCGATGCTGCTCTGAATCACTGGGCGGCGAGATATTCTCTCTCTCTGATCGATGTACTCGCGATGTATACGACTTACCGCGTCCGCCCGTGGGAATGCGCGTGGCGCTCGATTAAGGCAATCCTTCCGAGTTCTTCTCCCGATGCGGGAGAGAATAACGCGCTATAATTTTTAATTAAAATTAATTAAGATTAAATCTTTGTAACTGTATTCCACGTAAATGTATTGTTGTTGTATATTCTGTGTAGTTATATTTTTTTTCTCTCTTTGTATTTCTTTTCTAAAGCAAAAAACTTCATTCACGAGATTAGAAATGAAGATAAAATGGAAACGTTTGCGCGCGAAACAATCGGTGGCAAATCCAATTAACTGTAACGTCTGTTAAATGTCATGCCCCACAATCGCAAACGAAAGGTAGGAAAGCCGAAATGATGGAAATAACGATATAAAGGATAATAGATGACATATTAAATTTGCCTCTAACAATTTACTATCCCAGTTTCCCGTAATGGATTTCTAGTGTAGCGAATTTAATAGACATTTTGATATCACGTGACGTCAGTATTGTTGTACCGCCTCCCGTCAAAATCCAAGCTGTATACGAGAAAACATGTCAGCTGGGAATACGTAATAAACTTCTGAAATTCGCATTTGTGTTCATAAATATTGACAGTCGGTCGACGTAATTATTAATTACCTCGTAATTGCTCATTACACATTTCATTTATAGAGCCGCACTCCGCTTTGTGACGTTGGAATTTGACAGACGGCTTTTAAAGCTTGTTGCATTGCATTAAAATGCTTTACCAATGTATTACGTGAATTAACGTTTCAACAATAGATAATAATAACAAGAGAGAAAAGAAGAGAGAGAGAGAGAGAGAGAGAGAGAGAGAGAGAGAGACATGTATACTTATATTGCAATTTTATGCCTCGTACAATGACACAATTGCGAATAATTAAACTAAAGCGTTCAGTGTGTGTGTGTGTGTGTGTGTGGATGTGTGCGTGTGCGGTGAAAAATACCACAAGGATTAAAATAATTGGATGCTTCAGTAAAATGCAATTCATCTACATTAATTTTTAATCAGATAAAATCTCAAGCACGTGCAAAATTATGTCACACACACACACACACACATGATATCACACATGATACACATATGATCGCAGAGAATATTCTTACACAAAAAAAACTATATATATATATATATCTCTGTCAAAAAAATACTTTAATTAACTTACTTTTAAATTAATTTTTTGTTAATTATTTTTCCTCTACAGTACGTTTTCTCTCACAGAGCAACAATTTTATCTGAACGTGTAAACAGCAAGAGAATAAACATTGTTTGGCAAATCATCCAAATAACTGAAATTTGGCTGGTGGTTCAGTTAAGTAATTTCCCGTCTGCAAAACATAACGCTTGTGATTCGTTTCACGTATTTCGCCGCAATTGCCGTTATTAGTGCTAACGATTTAATAACTATTTCGAATTCCTAGCGCGTGTTGTTAGCTTTGAAACAGTTTATAATGCAATTTTGAATAATATAATTTACTAGAGAGAAAGAAAGAGAGAGAGAGAGAGCGCGCCAAGTAGGAGAACAAATTAAAACAATAAATAAACATGCGACACTTTAATTATTGTTATACGAAGCGGAAGCGGAAGATTCGTCTCGTTTGCGCAGAGGAAAACGACCGATGGAAATTCGAACGAAACGAGCGAGACGGGCTCGTCGAACGGAAACTCGCATTAATCCGCGGCACATTATGTACTTCCCGTTTTCCATCGCCTCTCTCATTGGTCCCGTTTTCCTCGCTATCCGCTTTTCGCTTCATTTCTCCGACTCGCGTTATGATATCGCGGCAGTATTTACCGCGATGGCGTATGGCCAAAGCGGAGAGAGAGGTCCCATTTGCCGAGGCACATTCGTCGATGACCGGACATCGGAAATGCGAAAGATGATCATGCATTTCCGGTTTAATAGCGACTCCAAAAAAGAGAGAGAGAGAGAGAGAGAGAGAGAGAGAACAACTTTGGCGCTTCGTTGTTTAACTTGCGTGAAATATAATTTATCTCGTTGCAAAATCGCAACTTATCTATTCGTTTTTGTACAAAAAGACTTTTGTTTAGCTAACAACAACATATTTTACAATATTCATTTTGACTAGTTTTTGTTTTTAAATACTTTATTTATCTAAGATGGTATATATTATTACTTTCTCTCTCTCTCTCTCTCTCTCTTTCTCTTTCTTTTTCTTTCTCTCTTATTTAGTTTTTATGTCAGTTTTATATATATTTAAAAGTATATTTTAAGATATAATATTGTTTATTAATGTTGTTTAAAAATGACTTGTTTCTTTTTTTGTCATAAATAAACTTATTCCCGAAAACGAGTAATTTACTTTGCTCGATTTCATTCTGTAATTACCCGATGCAAATGTCTCATCCGATGCAAATGTCGAGAGCAAAATTTTTGTGAGGCGTTTGGCTGCAAAATTTGTTATTAAAAAACACAATCGAATTGATACACGACCTGTCGTATCCAATAAATAACTCGGCAGCTCTTATGATGAAAAAACTATCCAAGATCGCTTCCTGGATTATTAAACACGCAGTGTCATCTAATATGCAAAGGCCGGAACTGCCAAAGCGACTTACCAGCGCATGTAAAGTTACCTTGTTACCTTGTTAGGATATTTCCCTAACAAGAAGTTATTAAAATCAGTCACTTTCAGATGGCGTCTATCAAGCGTCAATATTTGACTAATCGTATTTGACTACATAATCAAGCAATGTGATTGATCGATTTGCCAAGTTATTAGTACGCACAGAGATCGAAAAGAGACTAGATAGAAATCGATACACATAATCGATGCACGTAGTATCGAGCGCCATGTTTATCGCATATATCGATCTGGTCACATTTACGATTGGTCGCCACTGCGCGCCCGCGGGAACTTGCGCTACGCTTTGCCCGAATAGTTAATAAAATATTAAAAATCTTTATTTACTAAATATTGTGCGACACACGTGATTTAATTTTAGAAAATATTTGCGCGGAGAAAATGTCTGTCTCTTCCACGCAAAGAACATGGCAATATTATTTTGTCGAAGATAATAGAATTTTTACATATTCGCGCAAGCACGAGACAATATTGTCATAAAGTTGATAATGAGAAAAAAAACAAAATCAAAATGTTAAAAAAATCAGCAAAATATCCGTGAGAAACTAAATAAGAAAAATGTTTTCTCTTGCGATAAAAATATTTGTTTATACGTTCACTTTTATACGTCAAGCTGTGACTGATGCCAACGCCACGGTGTGATTACCTCAACAACTACAGGAAAGCGAGAAACTGATCTTGGACATGTTCCTCTCGTCGTCAGTCATATGAGTAGGTTGTAGGGGCTCGTTGTTTGAATTCTAGTCCAGAAAGGGGAGATGAGTGATGCCGAACTTCAGGAGGAGGAAAGAGAAGTTCTACTGTCCATTTACGATGGCGATCCGGCGTTTAAACAGACGACACCGACGACGTTTCAATACAAGGTTCACAATTCTCTTCAGATTTTACGCGGTTATGTTACGTCTGTTGTGCAATGATTTTTTTTTTAACTTTATGCACACAGTACGGAGAGGACGACGGTACAAAGTCGTTCCTGCTGGAGATATCATGGGGCGCAAGGTATCCTACGGAAAAACCGACCATCAATATGAACACGTTTTACAATAAGCATATGTAAGTTCGGCCAAGTAGCGGTGTATATTCTTGCATTCGATTACTTTGATTAAAGGTGAATAATTGGAATATACAGTGTGCAAGAGGTAAAAGACAAGGTGGTGAGTCACATAGAGGCTGAGGCTGAGCAATGGTTAGGTAGCGCCATGACGTATACCTTATTTCAGTCTGTTCAAGAACATTACGCAGACTTGGTGTCCACACAACCGGAATCCGTTGTGGATATCAATTCTCACACCAGTAGGCTCAAGATTACCGAGGAGATTCAACAGGTGTGTGAGCAAAATGTTCATTTGCGCATCATTAATGGAAATTTTTATAGAAGCAAAATGTGACACACGTAATGTTCTTTCTTTAGGTCGAGGAAGCAATAAAGAAACCCAAGAAAGAACATCTGAGCAAAGCGCAAAAACGCAGACAGTGGAACAAGGCGGATTGCAAGGGTGAAAAGCCAAGAGGCTGGAACTGGGTGGATATAGTAAAACATTTGTCACAGACTGGACCTAGAACGGAACAAGATTCTTAGCTTGAGCGGTTGCATATACCATTTTGTACATACAAAATCATGTTATATTTTTGTAAACTGTTGGAAATACATAGTTATTTCCTTATCCACTTCCTAAAATAGTTTTTGCATCATTATTTTACGACCAGATTTATAGATGTAGATAAAAATATGGATCATCTAACGTAATACAAGTATTTTAGCTTCGAATCAGTACGGTTTCAACATACAGTAAGATTCCAGTAATTTCAAGCATTACAAAAGTTTCGATTTCTCTTTTATGAGTGACTCGATAGGTTCTACTAGTGATAATTGTTCGATCTTCACTGCGCACGTAGAGAATGCGCGTCTATCCTCTAAGAGTCTAAGAGAAAGAAAAATTTAAATATCTGTCGTTTCTTGCTACCAGTTGGTTTCAGTTAACTGAAAAAAAAAAGAAAATAATTTTGAATTCTAAAAAGAAATCGCTCTTATATAGGCTCGAAATTACTAGACTTCTGCTGTAACTATCTTCTAAATTAGTAAATACATAATAAATTCGTATTGTCCGACTATTTAACGTAATATTGTCTTCCAAAACAGATCTCGATCTCTTTTGCATATTACAACTAATAAACTATCATTTTCATCAGTTTCCATGGAAACCCCATGAAATCTCCACGCTCCAACTGTCAACAAGTTCGTTTCCGTATTCCATCCTAAAATAGAATTCAATAATCGTATCATTTTATTAAATATCAAATATAATCCAATATGATTACACGTACCTTTCGTCTTCAGATCGGCGAGAAATGCTGAATAGTCGTTAGATACGATCAAATCCCCGGCGCAGACACTTTGGATCACTAGCGGCAGTTTTGTATCGGTATCGGAGTTGGCAAGTTTTTTGTAAAGAATATACGTATTTATTAACGGGTGTGACAGTTCGGAAGTTTCAGATTGCATCAATAAATCCTACGCGCGAGATTGAGAAAAAAAAAATAAACAAATATAACAAATTATGTATGTGTGCAAAAAATTATTTAAAAAAATCATTTTCTTTACTCACAATTGGTATCTTTTGCGCTATGCAAATGTAAAATCCGCACATGGAAGCGTAAAAGTACGCCTCCAGTATATCAGTAGGTTGTACATTTGTTTTGAGAATTACAAATATACTTCTTGTCTCAATGTCCATCGTTATTAGATACTTTCTATCCTCGAAAAATGTCAACAGAAAGTTCATTTCCATGGATGAAATTGCATCTTTTTTCAGGACACTCGCAAACGAGACGCCAATCTTTATATCAAACCCGCAAACTCTCTTCGCTAAAATCAAATGTGTAATATTAGGCGCGTACAGTTTCTTCTATATTATAACACAAACACAAATATAATGGTACAATTCCAATAAAAACGTACTTACTAGGATTTCCAAGTCGAAATATCGATTCTTTTTTATTGATAATTTTCGAATCCGGAATCCGCTCGTTCGTCATGTAATTTCTAACTACTAAAGCCAGTCTAGCTTCATTCAACGTATCTAAACACAGTGCTTTAACCGCCAAATAATTGGCCAAGAGATGGACTGCCACCAGGAAGAGATACAATTCTATTAAGTATCTACATATACGTACATCACTCATTAATAATATACCGCGTGATATAACAATCATTTAAAAAAATATATATATCAAGTGATATCAGATACACACCGTCCATCCTGAAACAATGACAATATAAATATCCCGAAGAACGACGCGATCAGATTTACACATGTCTCCTGACTGCCGTCTTTCGCAGAAACGTCTGCCAGATTATTTCTTATTGCCTGTAAAAACACGCAAGAAAGTAATCTTGCCGCTAAAAAAAAATTTATCATTTCTTATTATTTACCTGATGCTGAGTAAGCGCCGCTCTTGTGGCTCCACCAGCAACACCGACGATGGATTTCATGACGGTTGAGATGCAGAGAATCACAAGGGAATACGACGAGAAGTACTGAACGAGTAATTCAATCCCCATTGCCAAATCGTTCAGAATATCAGCGACTAGTCTCCACTTTTTACACTGTCCGTCCAAGTCAGTTCTGTAACGAGAAAAATACGTCCTGAATCTTTTGATATAGTCACAAGGTATCAGTCACAAAAGCATATCTAAAGTCACAACAGACGCTCCTAACTAAAGCAAATCTGATGAGACAGTTCTTGTTCATTCTTTACCCATTCCACCACGCGAACACTATACTCCCAATCATGCCAGTACCATTTTTCATGATCCACGTGATTGCGGCTGCCAAGGGTGTTGCGCTTGATTCTCCAACTCCTATTCCTTTCATTATAGAATGAGTTGTTAGCGTGCCCATTATAGTACTCGCAAAAGCCTAGAAAGATTATTTGTTTCTTTAATTATATACATTATTGGTGAATTTATTATTTAATTTATTTAGTTATCGAACATTATTGGGGCTGAAGAAGCATCATCAATTTATTGTAATCATTCGTCAGTTTTCTCAACGAATCTCATGTTTATATCGGCTGCGTTCAGAATTCAATGATTAAAAGCGCTTTCAACAGCTTTAAATATTCTGTTGAAACAATTTTCGCGCCATTTCCACATACATACATCCAATTAGATTAGAGATCAAACATGTACAAAACATAAATATAAATAATATTTTGTTGCAATATTATTTTGCACTGCTCTATGTTATTTTTCATTAGTAGAAATAAAAAATGGATGGATAGCAATAATAAATATTGCTATATAGATAACGATATCAGTTTAAATAATATATTTACTCGTCAAAGCTAAAAGAACCAAATAATAAAAAGAATAAAAACTAAATTCAGAAATTTGAAGAAATGAAAAACTTCGAAATGAAAATTATCATAAATTAATATAGAAAGAAAAACTCTAATTATTTATTGTATCAAATCAAAAATGTTTTACACAAGTAAAAAATTAAAAAAAATATATCGTTGCGACATTTTGAAAAATCGTTGAAAAAGACCAGAAGTTACGCTTTTCTATGATCTAATCATATTTTTATGCGGTGCAAAATTTTAAAACAATTTTTATAAATATTATATTATATGCAGACGACATAAAAGAATACAATGAAATTATCAGAATGTAATTTTATTGTCTAGTTTTACATGTGTATTAGCATTACGCCTGAAAAAAATAAACAAAAATAATATTAAAAAATAATACTAGAGATAAGCAAATCGAACTTGGGGACAAGGAGAGAGGAGCGTACATCTATTCTTTTCTCAGAGAACGAATCAGAGAACGCTACCTTTTGGACAGTGCAGCGCAACATCCTCATGTTGTAAAATCGTAAACCGCTAGGAGGCGTTCGCAGCAGAGTAGAAAATCTTTACAACAGTAGATGCGGTCAAGGTCTTACTGCAGATGTTTTGAAACATCATTCTATCTTTATTCTGCATTTAACGAGAAATAAAGATAGAATAATGTTTTGAAACGTTTGCAGTGAGATTTTGACCGCACCCAGTGTTGCAAGCTTGATCTATCAATCGTAGCAAAGAAACTAACCTGCACGGTGTCCCATATCTGATACTCCGTATAATCGGGATGCACGCTGTCCGGATAGCCTTGCGGCAGGAATATCTCTTTGAGAACGGACACGATCCGGGAGTCGGCGGCCGGCGACCCGACAGATTCGAGTTTCACCTCGTTTACGCTAGTGCCGCCTAACCAACAGGTGTCATGCGGGTTAGCATGCGGATGGTCGATATGCGAAAATAATAAAGAATTTATTCATACACATTTTTGTTATTACAAAGCGAACTCTCTCTCTCTCTCTCTCTTACCCTCTGATTTCACGTAACTCGTCTCTTTCCCGTTTCCGTAACTCTCCCGAAACAAGACACGCATGTTCGCAACGGTGTCGTAAAAATCGACGCGTTCGCCGTTTCCCCAACGCGCCGCTAATGGCTAACTGATCCGCATCTCACGTATGACGATAGTGTGTATGTGAAATCCTCAAAAATTTAGGTATCGGTTGTTAATTAAAAAACCCTCGTTAAGATCCTTCGTTACCTACAATTCTACATAGTCCAGAATTGCAAAATTACATTTTGAAACATTTACACACTGTGATAAAATATTCTAAGCGCAACATATCTGTGATTTGTGAAATAAACTTTTTTTTAAACAAATTTAAGTCGCCTAACTTACACACACACACACACGCACACACGGCTAGCTGTTCCTCTTCGCTGCACTTTTGCCGAATATCACACACGCGTCGCCGATTATTCCGTTCAACTGCGCGATGCAAGTATCGAGTCGGTTTTTCACTTTACTTACGTAAGCAACATTTTTCACTTTACTTACGTAAGCAACATTTTCCCGAGGATAACTCGCGACATTTCGATCTTTCTGTTCCGTATTGTCGCTCGTAATTTTTTTTGTCTCCGCGTTATTAGAATTGTTCATTGTTTCTGTGTCTACTACTGATTTGTTCTCTTCGTTTTGTGAGTTAATATCAAAACTTCTGTTCGTCGAAATTTTATTGTTCTTTACTTTTTGCGTCGAACTGTCTCTCGATCCGACGAAACAGCTTAGAAAAAATCGACGAGCTCGGCTTCGGCGTCCCATCGAAGTGTCGTATTGCACGCCTCGGGAAATCTTCTTTTTCTTGATTTTCCAGCTAACAATATCATTAACGATTGCATTCTCCTTAATTTTTTCCGATCTTTTGTTCAAAGCGGCGGCGCGTAAAGTTTTCAAATCTCTCACGTTCCTCGATCCCCGACCGATTTCTTTTCCGGATTTTTCAGCGCGCGAAATGGACCTTCGATGCGTTTCCGACGGCTCGGATACGCGCGATCTATTCGGCCGTTCATCATCTTCGATTGATTTATCGCCGCGCAGATAATCCTCTTTAAATACGGCCGACTCGTTCGGCGCTTTTACTTCCCGCGCACGTTTCGCGAATGATGAACGAGCGGATAAATCAATGCTGCCCGGTGGCACAGATTCGTCCCCTTGAAAATTTCTTTCGCATCGCGCGCCGGTTCGTTTCTTGTCGTTTTTCGTCGGGTCATTTAATTCCGACGGTGTCGACCTGGAATCGTCGAAACGTGTGTTTTAAAAAAATTTTATAAAATTTCTGAAAAAAAAAACGGATTTTTCATTGTCTTACAAAAGTTTTAATTTCTCTTTTGATGAGTCGCGCCCCGATAACGGAGTCTTATTTTTGTTTTTAAACGCAACGATCTCATCCCGTAGTCGCAAGATTTTGCTGTTCAGTCCGGCCAAAGCGGCCACGAGATTATCGATAATAATTTCCGCGTCTCCGGATGTCCATTTTTTTTCGACAGCGCGCGTGTCCATCATCTGTTTTCTCAGTCAAACAGTTCAGTTTGACGCGAACGATCTTCACGCCGAAGTTTGTTCGATCGACAAAAAAAAAAAAAATTTCGGAGCGACAGTTGTCACAACATTATCCGCTAAAATTTAAACACATTCAAGATGTAACCGTCGTATTCGACGTATACATACCTGTACGACATGGCCGACGACAAGATCGACGATATTCTGGTGCGCCTCGACGAGATCGAGAAGCTGCAGACGGAACTTCGGCATCTGGTGCCGCGGGTCACGTCTTCTTCTTCGTCCAGGCACCACCAGGATACGCTCCGCGACTCGTCCGCGTCGATCCGCTTCCCGTCCCTCTTCACGTTTCCGATGATTTCGAATTTCGCGTCGTCCCCGAAGACCACCGAGCGCGTGCAAAAGTCAACCGCGCAGATCAATCTCAACAAATGGTCGACGAGCGGCAATCGAACTTCGACGACGAACCTGACGAAAGCCGCGGGAAGATCGTTTTCCAAAAGCGCATTAGCCACGAGAGGAGCGAGCGTTTCCGGAGAATCTTTGAGAGGCAACAACGTCGCGAAGTTGCGCGGATTATCGAGAAACTCGGCGATTTCAAGTTCCGCGGCGAGTTCGACGGTGAGAAACGATGACGCGAATAAAGCGGATAGAAATGCGCAGAAAGCAATTAAAAAGTACCCGAAGAAGAGCGAGGCGGCGAAGATCACGATCAGAAATAAAACGCAGCTGCGTGAAAACGAGAATTCGTGTAAGTTTTGATTTTTCTCGACTCGCGCGTTGCTGATCTCTTAGCTTCTTGCGATTCCTGCATTCACAGTTTGCTGCTCTGTTCAGACATCGGCCAGTCGAGTTCGCGCTGCAAAAACAACAGCGAATTCGGCGGACGCGCGGTCATATCTAAGAGATAGCTGTCGTCCCGATCAGAGAATTTCGACAGCTCGAGAGAAACTCGAAACCCGAACGTTCGTCGAGCGCGTCATGGACAAGCTAAATTACTGCTTTGTGAACAATAAGAAGGTGACCGTTCCGTGTCATCATCCGGGAAGCTGGACGCCCAGAAGGGTGCAAATGTCACCGTCGCCGATAATCGGAGCGACGGATAATTATCCGCGAATGATGCGCGTGTCCTCGGCGAAGATTTCCGTCAATTAACGCGACATATTTATTATTAATACTTGTACATATTGCAGCATTAAAAGAAATTTCAAACAACATATTTTGTTGTTTACTTTAATTATCACAGTAGTAATGATAGTGTAGCCATTTTACACGTTTACGCGCATGTTTTTGTGAACATCCCTCGTAGAGATTTATTGTTACTGATGTGACAAAAATAATTATTTATTTCGAGTATTAAAATCAGTTATGTTGAACAGTGCAGTTTTGATGACATCAATCTCCTCGATGACGATGAAAATATCGACTGAAAACTGTTGAAAATAAATGGATTTGATATTTGATGCTTTCGCGGTGTGTAGTATTAACACACAAAGATGTTTTTTCCTGATACAGTATCAGGCTGCTCTTTAAACTCTGATGAAGTGAGCTGTAATGTTCACGAAACGTCGGTATAAAAATGACACTAACGCGGTTCAAACCCGAAAAAACATCTTTGTGTGTCAATAAATGGATCTTCGGATTTTTCTTCTCTTACAAAAATTTATTATCCCTAATAGGCAAATTGTGAAAATATTGTACACAAATGGCATCATGAATACTGACGATTTTGCAATGATTGCGCTAAGATGATGATTCGCTATAACGCAACAGTTTTGTCGAAATAAAATTTTGTAAATAATACTTGTCAAAAATTGCGAAAGAGTTGTTATGCATTTCCTTAAGTATATACATGAATTAAGTTGATTTCTTCATATGCAATTATATTTCTACATATTTTAAACATCACATAGCTGAAATTGTTTTCTCAATTATTGGACAATTTTTTTTTAAATTAATTTTGCAAATATACTGCTAAAATGATTCGCCATATTGTTATTCTTTTGCCGAAATAATATTTGGAAAGTAATTTTGCGAACAACTACAAATATTTTTCTAAAAGATCAATGTTTTTACATTTATTTCCTAAAATATATCTGTATAATTGCAAATTACAATTTTAGTGCAAGATTTTGTCACATAATTTTGTAAATGTTTTCCTATCAGGGTACTCGTACGGCCAAAATATTTATTTTAAGTATTAAAATTATTGTTGAACAGTGCTTTTATTACTCAAAATAAGTGTTTTTTTTTCTTTTAATAAAAGCACTGTTAAACATAGTTTTTGGCCACAACCAGCAATAAATTTCTGTAAAGGAAGAAGAATTTGAAGATCCCGGTTGATTCCTCAGTCAAGGACATTGTACTTTCACCAAAGAAACCGGTCATGAAAAAAATGTCCCAGAAAGGAAAGAACGAACGAGAGAAAAAGCAGCAGGATGATTATGTAAGTGTTAAAGCGCAGCAGGAACAAGCGGAAGTAATTCGGGCGATTTGTGTATATACCTCCGGGTCGATTTTGACACAAGAGAGAAAAGCACGACAGTCTGTCCTTCTCGCTCTTACGGCATTAGGACTGTCGCGCGGTGACGCATCGCGCACACAGCACGGGACTGTCTTTGGCCAATGATCATCGGACGCACTTTTAAGGACTTTGAAGGTTAGGAAAAACCTGTCATTTCGAATGTATTTGAGTTTTAGGAGTCGGAAAAACTGAATAATTATTGGTAAAAAAATTTTTCTTTTCCAATAGCAGAAACATGGAGAGTGTAATTCAGCAAAAAGTGATAGAAGTTGCCGCTCACGTGGAGCAACAGTTGGACGCGGAGTTGGAGAAATTGGACAAGTTCGACATCAACGATTATGAAAACATACGTGCCCATCGTTTGAACGAGCTCAAACGGATGCAGAAACAAAAGCAGGATTGGCTTGCTTCGGTACAACACTCCAGCATATTTAAAAAAAAACTCTTAGAATATTTAAAAGCTAAAATACTTACTTAAAATACACACACACGTATGTATAGATGATAGTAAGAATTGACAATTTGTTTAAAATTTTGTAATTTTACAGGGTCATGGAGAATATTCGGAACTGTACGATGAGAAGGAATTCTTCGAAATATCCAAGAAGTCAGAAAACATCATCTGTTTATTTTACAAAGACGATTCTCCTCGATGTAAAATAGTGGATCATCATTTCAAGATTCTTGCGAAGAAGCATATTGAAGCGAGATTCTGCAAATTAAATGTTGAGAGATGTCCATTCTTAACTGGTAACACATAAGATTCGTTTGATACGTACGAATACATTTTATTAAATTTTATATGTTAACGTATAATTTTAAACATTACAGAACGGCTACGAATTAGAATCATACCTACAATTGCTCTAATTGTGAACGGCAAAACCAAGGATTATATTGTTGGATTCACTGAATTGGGAAATTGCGATGACTTTTCCACGGCAACGTTGCAGAATCGCCTCGCGCAGTCTGGTGCAATCAATTATGATGACGATTCAAATATTTCAGAATCTAGTAAAAAGTCATTTATATTGAAATCGGTAAAACCTAAGACCATCAAAGGACGTGATGATAATTCGGGTGATTCTGATGATGACGATTGGTAAATTGTAAAATGAAAAACATATATTAATTTACATTTTAGCAAAAGTTTTTATATATTAAATTATAATTAATGTATCAATATGTTTATTCACAAATATTTTGTATTACACGTTTTTGTCTCGTTTTCGTATTAAACAATGAACAATGTTTGTTTTATATAACAATTAAATTTAAACATTTATTATATAATAAACTACAATAATTTATTATATAATAAATTATTTTGTAATAGAGAAACTAGTATTTTATATTTCAACGCAAAAAGTATACATTTTTCTTATCTATGTGTCTTATCTATCACCATTTTATCGCGAGCGCTGTATTCAGTTTTTGTATTTCGTGATACTGCGTGCTGAAGTACGCGCCAACTTTGTCCGTGTGTTCTCCTCCCAACCAAGTTTTGTACAAGTTTGTTACCGCATTATTTTTCTCGGGTTCGCTCAACGGAAGCTCGCGATACATGTTTTCCAACGTCGTGGCAAGTTCTCGGGGCTGTATGTTTCCTTCGGGCCTTACCTGCGCTCCGCCATTTAAACAACCTGATAACAACGATCAGACGTTGAAACATAATTTTTACACGTATCTCATATATATGTATATAAATGCGCAATATTATTTCAATTAATTACCACAGGGACACGCCATAATTTCCACGTAGTCGTAAACGCATTTGTTTCTTTTCATCTTCTGCACTATATTCTGTATATTTTTAAATCCATTGATAACGGCAAATCTCAACAACACTTCATCGTTTCTTTTCAACTCCGCCTCCTGAAAATCAGGATTTCTGAGAGGCTTGAAGTTCACGGTAACATTTTCCTCGTCGAAGAGATTTCTCGCTGCGTAACGGAAAATAAAATCCGCGTAACCACCCGATCCCGAGCCACTGTGACCCCATAATCTGTTCTTCAGTTTCTTGTTGTAAGAACCAAACGGCTGTTTGATTTCACCTTCAATTACTTCGTTCAACACTAAACCGTCCTCGTTGAACATCTGTTCCAATTCGACTGAAAGAAATGTGTTTTCTGTTATTACAATTTGTGCATTCGAGTGTGACGGTATACAATGTGAAAGACACAAAGTGTGTACACACTCGACGTTATTACGCAGTCTACGTCTCTGGTTTGTTTCTCTTGATTGTAAAAATCTTCTCTGGAAGCTTCCAGCTTCTTGTCGTAGCAAGGCATCACGGTTACGTGATATATCTGTTCCGGCGACAGGCCCATTGTCTCGGCTAAGTGATACTTCACCAAGGATCCCATTATTTGCTGAGGCGACTTGGTGACGCTTATATGCGGCAGTATGAAACTTCCGTGCGTTTTCTCGGCGTAACATACCCAACCTAAAATTCACAAGTTTTTGAAAAAAAAAACGCACTTTTTATTCTCATCAAAATATCAACACGCTACCTATGCGCATTACCTGGACACGAAGAAGATAACATTGGTAATTGATTCTTTGCTCCTTCTTTATTGGCCTTGTAACGTTCGACAAATTCTTTGGCAGCTTCCAATAAAGCAAAATCATCCGCCGCAGTCATGTCCAACACCGCGTCAGCTCCGAGTCGATAGAAGAAGCCTGCCAGTTTACGGAGAGTTTGCTCTGGCGAAAGCTCGTAGCGATGTGCTAGCGACAGCACAGGTTGAACCGACAAGCTCACTACTATGTACTTGGAATCTGTGCTTCCTATGTTCTGTCAATGGATAACCATTGAAAAAATACATGAAAAATAATTTTACATAAAAAACATATTTTAATATACACGTGATATGCGTTTCTTCACCTGCTGCTCTGTCTTTTCCTGAAACACTCTGAGTATCTCTTCTCTACTTTGTTGAGTGATCAACACACTCTCAGCAGATGTGATGCAACCACTGCAAGCTAAACAGTCTGCCAGAGTGATTTCAACTTTTTGCAGTTTTTCCGACTGTCCCATCTGCAGTATGTAAGATAAAACTTGTGGATTTCAATATAAAACAATATTGTACACATCAAGATATAAACGTTTACGTGAAAAAACTTACCTCATTGAGTACTGAAAGACCATCATCGTCTGATTGTATTTTTATTTTTGAACCTGTCTTGCTTTTGCTTGACTGTATTTCTATAGGTTTAATGCACTCCTGCACAACAATAAACAAAATAGTAAAACTTTTGATGACATCTGAAGATCCAGGTGGATGCCATTATTAGTTTATTTTGTCATGTATACCTGCGATGGAGTGATGAAATCATCCAAGTTTACGATCTGCAACGCGTTGCTGAATCGTGACGCCATTGTTTTCAATGAAATTTGACAATTTTTGCAATTAACTCTTCTTCAGATATTCTCGTACACGTTTTGCTTTGAATACGCCTGTGTTAACCTCTTCTCATCGTTTTCTGAATAAAATTTAATACAATCAAAATCTTTCGATCTTGAAAAACTGGTACGATAAATTTTATTACTTCACACGTGAAATTCACGATCACGTGTGCAAATGCAATTCAATAGTTTACACGTGCGCAACACGCACACATACGTTTGCTTTGGGCGCTCACGCGCTTTTTGAGCGTCAAGTCTGTCTTCGTTTCACATTTAAAGAGCAATGAGGAGAACGCTTCTTGTCACATCAGTCACATGACTCACTGACTTGCGCCTGAGACATCGCAACCATTTCACTGTGCGGAACATTAGTATCAACATCCCAAAGGAACACAAATTTCTCTTTTCTTCTCTCTTGTGTTTGTAAGAAAAAATTACAAAAAATGACCGAAGTGAGAAAGGACGACGTTGTGAAAATTCTCCATACCTATCCACTTTGCAGAGTGAGTAGAGAGTTGCGCACGCTTTGCGATGATAAATCTCGTCGCGCGTGGATTTTTTTCGTGTAAAATAGATGTAAACAGTTTGGGTTTGATCAATAGAAGAACGCGCGCACGCGTGACGTTTTCACACGCTTGTTTTCGATCGACTTGCTGATTTATTAACATAAACATCGCGCGCGCGCGCGCTTATAAATATAATTTTTAAATACGTGTGTAAATTGTTTTTTATCGCAGTAGATTCGATACGCGTGAGATTAAAAAAATAATAGGATGAGTTAAAAAAAAAAAAGAAGCACATAAAAATATTTATTTATATAATTAATTTTATGTATTAATATTTACTTGCGCAGAAATGCGATATGACCGATGAGATGAAGCAAGAGGCGATGGAACTGTGCGTGACCGCAGCGGAGAAGTACGCGGACAATTACGAGAGCGTCTCGCGAATGATCAAGGAAACAATGGACAAGAAATTCGGCGCGTCGTGGCACACCGTGGTCGGGGAGGGCTACGGCTTCGAGATAACTTATCAATTGAAGCATCTTCTGTACATGTACTGCGCCGGCAATTTGGCAATATGCATATGGAAATCCGCGTAACTACCGACGACGTTCAAATTGTTTCAATGCATATTTTTAAACAGAACTGTGAACGTGTGAAATTGCTTGTTTTCTTTGTTTTTTTTTTGTTTTGTAAGTGTGCAACGCGTGCTTTAAAACAATTGTAACACAAGCAAGCAGAAACATGATGCAAAATCGATATAGAAATATTTTGTGACGTCTAGTACAAATGTGTGGGTCCATAGTTTTGTGTTTTGTAACATTTTTTTATCGCAATAAAATGCAATCAGCAGCGCGAATCGCTAAACGCAGTTTTATTTTTGCGTCAATCCGCGATTGTTTCGCTTCAGCGTAGTTCTGGCCCGCCCGAGCAGACGGTGCTAGCGTCGCGTTCAATATGGCGGTGCCCAGAGAACAACGCCATGACGCCATATCTTAAGCGATGTGTAAATATATATATACGTGTGCCTCGCACACTTTTGTAAATGGCGAATGTGAGTAGGAGGAAGGTTTGACGTTGACGCGTGATTTTAAGGTTATCTGGAGCTGTCATATACAAGTCTACGCGTCGCGTTTTATTATCCATTTCTTATTTGTCAAAAAAAAAAAAAAAAAAAAAAAAAAAAACATTCCGCGCTGTGCGCTCGTTGTGATGACAAGAGCTTTTAATATACTTATTATTTATTTTATTTAACAATAACGAAACAGCAACTAGTTAAAAACTGAAATTATTCGATTATACACTTATCAATGTGAGAGAGGGTAAGAGAGAGTTTTCTTTAATATAAATAATGTGTAAAATACTTGTTATACTACTGCGTTCTCGTTAGAACGAGAGATAAGAACTCGACATCATTTGTATCAACGAAAAAACACGAAAATGGCACTCATCAACATCGAGGGAATTGACCCTTGGTAAACTCTTGCTTTTACGTTCATATTCCAATTGCTTTATTTACGTAACTAATTGATTTTAATGTTGAATTTTTTTAAAACAAAATTTGACACTCGACAATTTCTACAATCAGGCTCACCGAGTATGACGCGTGTGAGAAGTTGTTCCGCGAGATTATGGAGCAGCTCACCATGCGCAACGGGGAACCAAAAACGTCGAAAGCTTACGGCAGTTTGTCGGCCAACATAAGGTTGCGCATGAAGCAGTATACGCGAGAGGTTCAGCAGTTGAAGAGCAAAGTGGAAGAAGCTTCTAAGTTAAAGACAATGTATCCTTTAACGTCTGCATGTATCTTTATCTGACTGCCATTTAATTTTGTTGTTCGAATAAATTCCTTAAGACACAATCGTACAGAACGTTTGAAGAAGCCGAACGTAGAACAAGACAGGTGGAACAATTACAAAGTAAAGATATTCAGTTGCAGAAGTTGTACGATCCGCGAACAAGCGATTACGCGTCATCGCGCGCTAGTTTGTTGAGAGGCTCCTCGGCCTTTGCCGACGGTGGCACAACTTCCTGGGCTGCTGATGATGAGGACGAGAGACCGATAGACGTTCAAGTAACTGTTAGCGATCTCATGAGCTATCAGGACCAAGTGCTGAAAGGTATATTTTGTGTGGCACTGCTTTAAGAAGCGGTTGTAGTAACTGTACCATATGTGTGTGTAATTCGCATTGTTCTCTTTCTGTTGCAGAACAAGACAAAGGCTTGGAAGAGCTTTGTAAGGTCATAGCTCGTCAAAAAGAAATTGGACAGTCTATCAGCAACGAAGTAGATCACCACAATGGTAAGCAAACGGAGGATTTCACGAGATTTGAGATAATCCTTCTATCTGGAAATATAAATCTCTGTTGAATCTGTTTTCTCTCTTCAATGTAGAAATAATCGACGATCTGGCTGATCACATGGACAGGACCGATCAATCTTTAGTCAATAAGACCGAACAAATCCGTAGTATCAGTTCCAGAGACCGCACGTGTGGTTACTGGGTGGTGATACTTATACTTTTCGTCGCCATTCTTGTTGTTTCCTTAGTGTAATAATAATCGTCGGATCGATATTATTTTAATTTTGTGAATCATGTTTATACTTAACAGCGAAGCGCGAAAGCTGACGCCAAAACAACAAATAGAAATGTAACATCTCTCAACTCTTACTAATTAGAACGACACGTCACGTAATTATTTATATGTTTTGTTTTCTTTTATTGTTGAAATATTTAGGAAATTTAACGTTCGGTGATAAAGTACGTGTATGATACTGAAGTATATAAAAAAGTTATTGTATCAACTGATGTGTAATAAGAGGAAGTTTGACCATATGTATTTTGTAAATATGCGTCTTTCTATATATAAACAGTTGAGTTGTATATACTGCTACGTTAGAAATATAAATGATATTACAGCCACTGACAACTGTGTGTGTGTGTTTACAATTGAAACAAGCGAAGAAAGGTTTTTGTCGGGTGTGAGAGAGGGAAATAAAGAAACTGACAAAGTCGAAAATTAGTAGTATTACATATATATATATATGTATATATATATATCTTACATTTGTTTCTTTTTCTTTTCGTTTCATTTTTTTTTTTTTTTTATATCATAAATATCTATCCTGAATCTGTGGTACTATGTCGAACCTTCTCGGCGCTAGGGACACAAAGAAGAGTCCTCTCGCTATTGTTTCTCTCTGCGCTTTGTTTTTCAAAGAAAAATATATCAAAGAATTATATAGATCAATTTGTAATATATATATATAATATAGCTTTTTCCCTTCCAGCGGATATACATATATGTACCGTAAATTTTTTTTTTGTTTGTTTTGTTTTGTTTTTTTTTCTTACACAACACCGTTTCCCGAGAGAATCCTTCCGTCTCTCGTGAAACTGAATTTTATTACATTTAGTAGTAGTTTCTCTAGTCGCCGAGCTCTTTCTCTCCTTCTCACGTAGCATACAATTTTTGAGATCTCATCATAACGCACCGCGTCTGAATCTCGATATTAGTTGTACTGGAAATTTCCTTACATCGAAATGTTCGCATTTACTTTAATTGAAACATGCACACGTTGCCCATTCGACTTCGACACAAAACTCTGTTTCACGCTCCGTCCACACACTTATTCTCTCCGTTTACAACAAAATTCGTTTTTTTTTTTTTTTTTTTTTTTTGTTGTTTGCTTGCTGCTATAGCTACTAGCCGCTCGCTTAGAAACTTTCAACACAGAAACAGCTACGAACGTACGTCGCACATCAAATATAGTATATCCGGATAATTTTTTCTCGTATTTGGAAAATTAAACTCAAGCTGTTCTTCTGTAAGAACAATTTCTATCTGGTCTACGTTAACAGCCGATCAGACGTTTTTTTTTACGCGACGAGGGATCGCGCTCCTCTCTTCTCTTCATTCTCCGATTCTCTTTGAAATATTTTGGTCACAGCGAACTGACGTTTCAACTGACGCTCCGTCTCTTTCCGCGAAGAGCGGAAAGAAAGAGAGAGAGAGAGAGAGAAGAGAATCTCAGCCGACAATCGCTACACGCGCCGCAAGCGCGAAAAGCAAACAGAATTTCTCTCTCCAAAAAAAGCATCAGTTGAAAACGTTCAGAATTCCCTCAACGAGTAACACGTGTTGTTTTTTTTTGTTGCTTATACAAGTTAGTTTGCGTAAGAGCGGAATAAGAACGCACACACTGATAACATAGCGCGTATACAGATTTTTTTTTGTTTTTAATTATATAGTTCCACAGCGAGACCAAAAAAAAACCAAACAAAAAATAGCGCGCTGAAGACCCTCGCGTTGCAAGACCCAGCGATATCTCTCACCTCGAACTTCGAAGTTCTAATTTGTTTAATTTTTGATAGTACATATATATGATACATATATTTTATCACTTCTCGCTCTCCTCATGCCACCTCTGTCTATGTGTGTGTGTGTGTGTGTGTGTGCGTGTGTGTGTGTGCGTGTGTGTGGCCCGAGTTTTTTTCTTTTTAAATCTCCGTGGACTCTTAATAACGTGCTCATCAACGAAGACGACGATGACAATTTTTTCTTTTTTTTTTTTTTTTTTTTTTTAGCTAACATCGAAGAACATCGAACTGGTTTTTTTTATACGTGTTCAAAGTCCTTGCAGTCAGTCTGAATCTAATTGACAATGTGTATACCAAAGGTATGTATGTGTCTCCTCTTGTGCTGCTTGCTGGAATTTGCCTCTCCCTTTCTTCTCCGGAGAGATTTTTCTCTCTCCTTTTAATTTATTTCATTTAATTCGCTAAACGAGCGCTTAAGTATATCAACTACTTGTATATACTGTATTATGCAATTATATGTATATATATGTGTGTATATATATATATATATATATATACATATATACATATATATACATATATATATATGTATATATATATACCGAGTGTACGATTGTTTTTTCTTTTTTTTTTTAGTTTTTTTTTCTGCTTAGCGTGGCGTTTCGCTACTCTCATCTTCGTCTACAGATATCTCTCACAACGCAAACTACACATAGTGTTTTAGAATATAATATATGCGCGGGTGTTCCAGGAAAAAGATTCCCGCCGATCGATTTTTGACTCTTTCGATTCTCGCCTTCTTTTTGTTTTTCGGTAGCATCGTGTTCGTCTCGGAATATCAAATTTATTTGAAAACGTCAGAGAAAACCAAAATCTCAGCCAAGAGAAATGTAACGATAACAACAATTTCTGTGTATATTCGAAGACTTCGCACAGAATTTAATTTAGTGACGCTAATTGAAGTGAAAATTATTACGAGGACTCGCCGAAGGCGGACTTTTGAATTTGATCAAGAAATCAACTGTTCACAGATCCGATCGTGTATATATATAAAAAAAAAAAAAAAAAAAAAAAAACGGAACACCCTTACATATCGCTGATATAGATTTTAGTACAACCGTTTATTCCGCAGTTAGACACACAGATAAGCACAAATGTCTTAATATATTATTAGAACGCACAATGCGATTCTTGCACTTACTTCCAAGCAGCGAAATGTGACACTCTTTTGTTGTATATCTCAACTCTAAAATATTTATATATAACAATAGTTAACCGCGCAAGCGTCCGCGAGCGGGCATAGTCAAATATAGTTCGCTACAGTTGGGATTATTTTTTTTCTCTCTTCAATCCCATTTAGTAAATTCTCAGTGGCGGATATTTTAGTTTCCGAATTTTATTTATACTTATATATGTATATATACACACGTGTGTGTATACATATACATATTTATACATAGAATTCGAAAAAAAAAACCTTAATGCATAATTTTTCTCACATGTAACATCGTATATAATGTTTTTTTTTAAAACAGACCACGCAGCAAGAAGTTTGTGTTCCACATTTACCGAATTTCTCTTATACGAAGATACATATCTGTCTAATTTCGCTAATTAATTACGATTATTCGTCTCTCAAGAATCTCTTACTTCTAATAAATATAGCCCGCCACTAAGCATACACTTTTTTTTAGATTATTACTTCTACAGAGGCAGTACCGCATGTTTCTTCAGAGGAGTCCGTATTTGTCGCGTTTTTTTTTTTTTTTTTTAAATTCGGTACAGAAGACGCTTCGTGGAAGAGGAAGAAAAGCAAATCTTCGCTCGGAACGACAGACGAGAAGTGCCGTTCTCTGTTATGTACTGTGGCAATGATATGGATAATATCGACGCGTGTGTGTGTGTGTGTGTGTGTGTGCGTGAGACAATAGCGTTCACACGCAACGACAGAGAGTTAATTAGCAATAAATATATTAAATGCAAAATCCTGCGGCCGGTTTGTGCGGCTTCGAAAATGAGTTGAAAATCGCATCGTTTCGACGACGGCATATCGCGAAGTTCGCAAGAGCACGTGTGTTATGTATCCCCCGGAAGATATTCAAGTAAATGTGTCAATTAAAAATATCTATAAATATTTTTATCACTTCTGGCTTTCTCTCTCTTTTTCTCTCTCTCTCTCTCTCTCTCTCACGCAAAATACGCGAGACACATTTGTCGAAACGCGACAGAGAGACTTAATCGAACTCAATTCTTGAATCGCGTCTCGTCCGGCCGGAAGACTTCGCACGCTACGACGTCTTTCATCGCAAAGGTTGTACTGATTGTTGTGGCTCGGCTGCGAAAAACACCAACGAAAAATAACAATACAAATAATGAAAAAAAAAAAACAAGAAAAAACACACATAACACACAACAAAATGCAGAAAAATAAATAATCAACGGAAAGTTCACTTTCCAAACGTATGTGTTACTTGATCTTTTATTTTTTGTGTTACAATGCACATCGATATATCTTTGAGTTTGTTTTCACACATTTAAGGCGAGAGTCACACGACAGTATATAAACCTGGGTTTTTTTCTTCGAGCGCTTCTCTCTCGTTCGCGGCTTGTGTCGTTTACGTACCTGTCACCGAATGTACGCGCGCTTTTCTTTCATCGACAAAAATAACAACTTTCAATCTCGCGCTTTCCGAATCGAAGAAGATTTAGGTTTTTTCTTTATGTTTCTATGCAAACAACAACGTTCAACGCTGTGTCACGCTTCGCGATCAAGGAAGCGGAAAAGGAAGGACCTCCTACATCCTCGAGGCATGTTGCGTGTATTATATATGTAAGTAAATATATGTAAATACGACGTGTCGTGTCGCGCGTGTACAACCGAAGCGACTCGATTTAGATCATCTAGGGAGAGCGCAAAACTTTTGTTTTTTTTTCTTCTTTTTTACTTAAAATATCACATGATATTACGCCTATAAACGCTAAAATTTTCTTTTCTTTTTTACGCTCTAAGCAACGCTAAGTTTGTAACGTTTTTTTTTTTTTTTTTATTTTATTTTAACTTTATTGTGTGTCGCATTGAGTGTGACAGATTCGAGACTGCCACCCTAGTAAGCCGGTAGTGCTGTCTAACGATCTCTCTGGGTTTTTGTTTCTTTTTTTCTTTTGTGCTTCGTCGCGCGTGATCGGGAATCGAGAAAACCGGCGCGATCTCGAGATATGTATTGCGACGTTTCGACGCGAAAAAAAAAATTAATTTGCTCTTCTCCGGGAGGGGGTAGCTACAAGTGTAAATAAATTTGTCTCGAAATCGGGAATTTACGAGAATTTGTTTCGATTGTTGTTCTACTGTGACGACGGGAACAAATTAGCTGTTCCGACAAAAATGTTTGTATACTTCAGCGGTGTGACACATCAACACGAAAAGCTCGGACAACAATGAGGACCCAACGCCGGGACCCCGATTCCCGAAATCGAAATTTTCTCATCGAGCGTCACATCGTGTCCCGTCCGACAATCGGCGGCTTCGGCCGCGCGAATTTTAATTCTTCCCCGTTTCTCTCCTGTTTTTTTTTTTTTTTTTTGGTGCGTCTTGTAACCAGTGCGCAAAAACACTCGGATCTCCTCCTTCTCCTTCTCCTCCTCTTGGATCGGCCGCTCAGTCTTTCGAACGTGTGTGTCTTTCTCCGATGGTGTTGCACCGGGGAGAGAGTAATAACGTGTGTGACGTGTGTTTGTGGTGAGAGAGAGAAATAGGTAAAGATAGATCAAAAGTTTTTCTGCGTGTGTTTCTTTTTTTTTTTTTTATTGTGCTCACGTGTTAATATAATAAGCACTCTTGGTCGTAGTGTGGCGTGTGCCCCAGCCAGTCGGCGATTCGACCGATCGAGGAACGCTGTCGTTAAGATACGAAGGTCCGAAATCGTATATAGAAACAATATACAACGCGTGGTCGCGGAGTACAAATTGTAATCTAGAGTAATTACAGGGAACGGGGGGGAGGGAGGGGAGAGAAAATATGGCGGTGTTTTTTTTGTCATTAGGTCTACGTAGTACAAAAACGCGTGGATGATTCCTTCCGTGGTCGTCGCGACGTGTATCAGTGGAAAAACGCGCGCACCGAGAGGAAGTAGACCGTGACTCGCGACTCAACGTCATCACGCCCGCCGAAGAAAAGTTCGTCCCCATCTCGCGCGTCGCTCGTGTAACAAAAAGTTTTTGTTCTCTCTCTCTCTTTCTCTCTCTTTGCAAATCGACGGGGCTGGGGGGAATGGAGACGGGCGAGTTACAAAACGAGTTCAAGTTCCGGCTGTTGTGAGGAACTTTGCCTACGACAACGCGAACACTCGCACGGATTAGTTAAGCTCGGACAGTTTGGTGATTTGTGATTGTGTCGCGTACAAAGTAAGGACTAGGTTGAAAAGAGCGTCGTCGGAAACGCGAGCGGAAACGCGACGATCTCTGTAAACTACAAGGTGATCTCGATCTCTTTGAGACACACACACTAGGGGGAAAGTTCGCGTAACGCGTGTTTCGGCACAGAGGCTCGCCGGTTCGAGAAACAACAACTCGCTTCACATCGAGCGTATACATTTGGCGGAGGGAGACAAAGAGAGCGAAGCAGGCACAGACATGTGTGTTCGTTGTGGTCGTTTGTGACTCCGAAAGCACATATACTACGTTGCTGACGACAAGATTCGCGGATAATACGCTCCTCGACTCGCTCATAAAAACGTTCATCGATTTCTCGTTTTTTTTCTTTTTTTCCGGAATTTTCTCCCGCAATCTCTTTCGCAACCTGTAAAAGCGCACACGCGAGGTAATTCTCTTCCATCTCTAAAAACTACTTTTTATTTCTCTGATCCCCTATTATTCGATGGCGCGAGAGCACGCTTGCAAGTCTCCTCGTGTATCAATCCTCATGTATTTTTTTTCGTTCTTTTTTTTTTTTTTATGGTATGTAATAATGCGTGTCGTGTGCGTTCCCCCGGAGAAAACGTCACCGCGGGGACTATACATGACGAGCTACACAGTGTTTCCGCGAAGAGTTTTTTTTTCTCTCTCTCTCTTTCTACTTGTCAAAATTATAATCATTGCAACACGATCATATATATGTATATGTATATGTATATGTATATGTATATGTTATATGTATATTTACATTTACTATCTACACATCATTTATTATCTACACATCAACAAACTGTTAGTTTTTTTTTAGCGTTTTTATCGCGCTTGAATCGTAAAGTTATCCTTTTTCAAAAAAAAAAAGAAAAAAAAAACGTTGTATATATATAATTAACTTACATATATTTAATATATATATACATCGTTTTTCGCATCCTATCCATATCGTTCTCAATCACACTCACGCTTTCATTCTTTCATCACTGTCATCATAATCGTCATTATCATTATCATTATCATTATCATTATCATTATCATTATCATTATCATCATCATCATCATCATCATCATCATTATCATCATACGCATCATCATCATCATTATTATCATCATACGCATCATCATCATCATTATCATTATCATTATCATCATCATCATCATCATCATCATCACCCTCACTCTATTATCTTAATTTACCTTCACATCAGCATAAAATGTGTCATAAACTCACGACTAGTTCGGAGTAAACGATTATCATAAAAAGTAATCATGATTCTTCGACTCTCGGTCAAACAAATAATATAATCGAATTAAACGAGCGACGAACACTCAACAAAAATGAGTATATATATATATATGTATATATATAAAAAAAAAACAAAATAAATACGCCAACTTAAAAAAGACAAGGAGTCGGGAGCAGTTAATGATAATCAGAGTAGCTACGCGATGCGCAAGAATTCCGCGTACAGCACGCGGCGCTACGGTCGCGCAACTTTGGACCACAGCCTCTTTTTTTTTTTGTTTTAATTTCCTTATCATTCCGCATCCCTTTCGAGGCTGCCTATCGTCAATTTCACCATCTCCGGGCGGATATCACCGTTGTCTCTTCTCGCGCAGAGAACTGACGACTCGCACTCTCCTTCTCCTTGGGAAGATCTCATCCTGTCAGACACCGGGCAAGGATTTCCCAAAAGACGAAGATCAGGCTAATCTCGGCGCGTCGTGGCAACATTGATATGATTCAACTTCATCATTAATGTCTTAAGATCATTAGTCTTCCTCTAATCTCTCCTGAGGGGGATACGAAATCTCCGTGAGGTTCGGAAGTTCAGGTCAGATTGGATTGCGGCGAGGGCGAAGGAGCGGTGGGCTGGGGATATGAGGCCGTGTCCTATATGAACGCCCAGCATTCCAGCGTCTTGACGACGAAGTCCTCGCGCGGCGCCAACGGCTCGTTGCCGTACGTGCTGCACGACTGCGTCCTGCCTTGGTACAGATCACCGTCCAGCCAGAGTCCGAACTTTCCGCTGGAGAAAAATTAAAAAACCACGTTGAGATTTTCTTCGCAAAAACAAGTTGTTGAAAACGGGATCTTTTTAGGGGGAAAAAAAGTGTAAACGTACTCTCCAGCACCGATCGCCAAACTCTCGTTGTTGCCTTTGATAAAGTACAGGTTGTCCCCTGTCCAGTTGAAGGCTTGAAACTTCGGCGTAAACCTGAAGAGCAGGGACTCGCCAGTACCGTAGAAGTGATCGCTCACGTGCAACGAGCACGAGGTCAACGCACCGAACACCTGCAACACAGAAACAAGGTGAAACTCTTGAAGGCTGCGACCTGCACGTGCGTCTTGCAACACATCATGGAGAAAAAAAAATGTCACATGACACTCTCCGTGTGTTCGCTCCGGTCAAACAATCCGAGCGAACGAGTTAGCGGTAAACCAGTTTGGACGCGGAACGCCAAAGTAAACCAGTAAACGCGCTAACAACACGAGTTCGCGTTAATGTTTCACTTATGACTAATTACGCAAAACTCTCTAGTCTCTCGGGTTCACAATCGAGGTCGGTCTTCGAATATATGCTTCGAATACACACTCTCTTAGTGAGAAAAATATTTCAGGTCAATGCTGAATTTTTCTCTGCAAAATCAAAATCACACACGTCGCCGCTTTAATTAAACAAGTACACTTACATTGCCCTCGGTGTCCTCAATGACCAACAGGATCGGGCTCTCGACCTTCGCCATCTTTCGGTACATGCTGTTGAGACTGAAACCGTGCTGGCTGGTACTGAATACGAGAGTCCACTGATAACCTTCCGCTCTCGCGGGCAGATGACGACAGAGATGTTCCCTGTGCTCGTCGCTGAGTATTTCCGTTGTGCCGATCAGGTCCGGCACGATGACGTCATTGTCCAGGGAAACGGCGCTGTTCGCGTACAGAGCTCGTCTGAACTCCTCGCTCATAGACAGCACCTGCGAACGCGAGAGAAACACCCGTCATCAGCGACACATATCCGTACAAGCACACAATGATAACGTGTGTGTGTGTATATATATATACATATACATATATATATACTGATCGCTAGTTCTATAATCGAGGAGGTAAGAAGCCAAGTTGTGTGTGCGCGTGTGTCTACCAAGAACGACAAATTATCTATAGGTAAGAATGAACTGTGAAATGGATGAACTCCTGTTTGTCTATTGTGCTATCACACAATGCGAATACAACGCGGTGTCGCTGACGACACGTAAATGAGAAGCTTGTTCCAATATGTATTCATGAACGATGATGAAGACTAATTTGTAACATGCACATGTGGATGTGTCTACTTGGAATATGCTGGATATAAGTAAATAGTCCGAGTGTGTCCTAAAAGTCTATTTTACAATCATCCAAGCGGAACACTCAAGTAAATTAATGACGAAAAAGCTTTGTAGTTTTGTGATGCCAACGTGTGTTGTGGCAATATTTTTGTTTCGTTGTACAACTGATGTATTCGCTACGACAAAAATCTGATGTATTTTGCTTGTTTTGCTTGATCCAAAATAAATTTTCAAATATTACAAATATGTGCGTCATGAGTACATTAAAAAATAAAAAATATAAATATAAATCCGCGATTAGATTTATATGCGAACATATAAATCCAACAACATATCCGTTCGTTTTTGCTTCTGACCTCCTCGGTTCACAGCTAGATGTAAAGCACATTTATAGGGCACTACCGCATCCAAGTGTGTCATGTTGTTGTTCCTCTCCGAAGTGGCCTCACGTAACCGATTTTATTCTGCTGAATTGTCAGATAATTTATTTAATGACGACGAGAGGCCGCTTACGTGCTTTCGATATATATCGAATTACTTTTGTCCGTCACCTCGCGGAAAGGAAACGCGATTCTATCGACACACCAATGTGCAATTCTGAAAGCTACAACGTGAATTTCCCCCTCGATAAGCTCGTGATCGAACGATTTTCGCACGGCTCTATCCTGCCGGTAGCGACGCCCTCCTCGCTGTTGTCGCGAAATTGACACGAGAGCTAATAACACCGCGCGTTTACAAACAAAATGCGACAGGTGTATTACGTATATTTATATATATATATATACATATATACCGCCAAACGCAGAGTTAACGCGGGAAAAAAAAAAGCAAATCGGACGATCCAAGTCTGAGAAATCTGCTGCGCATATCATTTTCTTCTCTCGCTTCAGACGTGTTGTCGTTTGCAAAAAATGTTAATTCGTCTCTTTGTATACTCGAACAGTTTCCAGAGATCAATTTAACTTCGCCGTAATGAGGTGTAGCCGAGTTTCTGTCTCCGTAATCGACTTCGAGAAGAGATGCGTGAGTGAGTCATGACAAAGTTTTATTGTTATATTCTTCGACGTTACGTTTCTCAAGCGTTGAATTTTCAAGAAGGAAACGTCGGAAGTAAAGCCTAACACAAAATCGTGAAACTACTTATTACGAATTACAAAAAAAAAAAACAAAAAAAAAATCGCACGACCTTATTCGCGCGTAAATATGCAAACATATTAATAAAACGAGTTGTATCGTAAATTAGTAATCAGACGATGATGACATCGGACAATATTATTGCATCAATCGATTGATTTCCATTAACACCAATTATAAACCGATTGAGAAAAAAACAAAATTGTCGCTCGCGAGAAAAAGTAGACGGCCGCGTGTGTTTCGACGGTTTGACGATTCTCGGATGTGTTTCTCGTGATTCACGTCGCGCGAATCAAGAGGCACGGTAGTGTCACTTATACGCGAAATTTCATGCAATTAAAAAGTGAGGAGATTTTCACGGAGCAATATCACAGTATTCGCCAACACACAGGGGTACGTTTCCAAAATCTTACCTTGATAACCGAAAACTATATAGTACACGTGACGCAAAATATAGCATTTTAATAACCAAGGTAGGATTTTGGAACGTACTCCAGAGAAACGGATTAAAGCACGACGGTCTTACAAAGCATATAATACACACAGGAGAGAAGTGTCGGAAATAACACGTGAAAATCACACTCGAAAAATAGAAAAAGAGAAGAGTGGAAAACCAACACGTGACAGGAAGGAGAGAAGAAGAAAAACAATACGTGCCTAATGTCACGTGACTTTAAAACGTAACTAGAAGTCTCTTATTTTTACCTGAACTGGCTACACTAGTTCAGAGTTTATCTTTCTTTTTCCAATGTGAAGTAAAAAAGATAAACTCTGAACTAGTGCAGCCAGTTCAGGTAAAAAGAACAGACCTTAGAATAAAGTAACGTGATAGTGAAGAGAGGAAAACTAACACTGACTAAAGTCACGTGACTTTAAAAACGTATCTAAAAAAAGTAACGTGACAGTGAGGATAGGAAAACCAACAAGTGACTAAAGTCACGTGACTTTAAGGACGTGACTAAAGTAAAGTCACGTGTTGGTTTTCCACTTTTTCCTCTCACTATTTTTCGAGTGTGATTTTCATACGTTATTTCTGACATCTCTCACATATGTATTATATGGTTTGTAAGACGTATATAATAGCTGTCATCGTGATGACAGATTTTTAACGTATTGCGTTCACAACACAACACGTTAAAATAAAAATAATAATAACGCGCGCGCCTGTGTTGTGCTAGTGTTATCAAAAAACAAATGTTCCTGCCGCGGCACACATTATCTGTTTTGAGAGGAGAAAAAGGGAGGGCACTTTGGGAAAAATTTATTCCGATAATCTTTGATCCCGCGGGAGAAGAAGCTCCGACGAGCGATGTGTGTTCTGTTCGTCACATTGTTTATTAAACGACGCGACTGTAAAATACCGAGACTCGAGTTTCTTTCCCTCTCACGCTATTTCTCCGTGGTTTACGACTGCGCGTGGAAGAGTCCCGCTTAACTAGCGGAAAGATAATTGCGTTATCGGCGCGTATCGCGCGCTTTTTCGACGTGTGTGTCTTCTCGCGAATGTAAAAATGCTCGAGAGGCGCTAATTGCGGTTCAGGTTTTCCTGAGACTCTCATTATCGACCGCTTCGGTCGCGCTCACGCGACTCCCAGCGACCAGATGTTTCACGCAAACAGTTAATTAAACGACGCGCACAAATTATCAGCCTTCCAATAAATTACCCCCGAAGAGAAGTGGAGGGGAGAGACAACACGCCGGGTTTATCGTTCGCTGTGAACAATCAAAACTGTCCCGTGCGAACGGGATAAAAATTTCGCGCGCGGAAATTTGTTGTGTAATAACTGCCGCGCGTATGGCGCACAAGAAGATCAAGAAAACGAGAAGAGAACAGGCGTTACTCACTTGCCATTCAAACGCGCGTAATATATTCGTTAACACACTTGCGATACTCATCTCTCTGTGAGAGTTAATTGTGTCATCTCCGATCGTGGCGCGAGATGACAACATTATCGGCCACGTGTTCGTGTCTGAAATACGAGTCAATCTTGGATCAAGCGGAGGTCATCGCGAGATGAAGTAGGAGTAGGTATAGAACACGCTGTAACAAAACCAACATGTGCAGACAATTTGAAAAAACAAGCGATGAAAAGAGAGAGAGAGAGAGAGAGAGAGAGAGAGAGAGAGAGAGA